TGAGCTGCAATGGGCTCCACCCAGTTGGAGCTTCCAGGCTGCTTTGTTTACCTACTCAAGTCTCAGCAATGGCGGGTGCCCCTCTCCCAGCCTTGCTGCCATCTTGCAGTTCTATCTCAGACTGCTGTGCTAGCAATGAGTGAGGCTCCGTGGATGTTGGACCCTCTGATCCAGGTGTGGGATATAATCTCCTGGTGTGTCATTTGCTAAGACCATTGAAAAAGCACAGTATTAGGGTAGGAGTGACCCAATTTTCCAGTTGCCATCTGTCACAACTTCCCTTGGCTAGGAAAGGGAATTCCCTGACCCCTTGCACTTCCCGGGTGTGGTGATGCCTTGCCCTGCTTTGGCTCACACTTGGTGGGCTGCACCTACTGTCCTGCACCCACTGTCCGACAAGCCCCAGTGAGATGAACACGGTACCTCAGTTGGAAATGCAGAAATCACCCATCTTCTGCGTCGCTCACGCTGGGAGCTGTAGACTGGAGCTGTTCCTATTCGGTCATCTACAGTATGTACATTTTTAAATTCCCTTTTCCACAGAGGAAGTCTATAGAAAAATAAAATAAAGTCCCTTTTAGTCTCCTAAGTAAAAGGATTCAACAGCTTTTAGTAAGCCAAAAATATAAAAGAACCATTAAATTAGAGAATAATAGACAAATAATGAGGTTAGCTGATCAGACTGAAGGATGGACACTTACACCGAAAAAAAAAAAAACAGGCTTCCATGAGTCATGACTGAGTCTGAAAGCAGCTATTTTTAAGCACACGTTGACTGAACAGTGGCTGAGAGCTAAGCACTTGGCGTGCCTGATCTTACTGGATTTTCCTAATAACCCATGATGTGAGTATTATTATTTCCATTATTGTTATTATTTTTAAATCTAACAGGGAACCTAAAACTTGGCTTGGGTAACTTACTCAGAGTTTCACAGCCAGGTCATGGCCAAAGCAGAATTTGAACTTGGTTTGACTTTAGAACCTGGGCTGTTAATCATACATGATACCTACTCTGAAGGCAGCAGATATTGGGAATCAAGTCAGAAGGAGACTGGGATTCAGTGCCAGGATATCCATTCCCTAAAGATGCTGGGTAACAAGAGAATAAGGCAGGAAGTGTGGATGGGGAGCAAGGTCAGAACAGGAGGAGTGTCTAAGAGCATCTCCTACCTGGATTCTGTACTGAACTTCAGGGACAGTAACTTTAAAGGTTAGGAAGAGAAAGGGAAAGGGAATCTAGAATGTGTCACACCATTCCCCCCTTGCTTGGCTATGAGGCCTTCTGAATATCTGAAGCAAATAGGTTAATTAAAACAAAATGTAACTTCCTCAGATCACCTTCATCTACTCTACATGGTGCCACAAGGTGCCAAGTGGTCTCTTCTTATTTATTTATTTATTTATTTAGAGACAGAGTCTCACTATTTCGCCCAGGCTGGAGTGCAGTGGCACGATTTCAGCTCAGGGCAACTTCTGCCCCCCAGGTTCAAGCAACTCTCATGTACAGCCTCTCAAATAGCTGGGACTACAGGCATGCACCACCATCCCCGGCTAATTTTTGTATTTTTAGTAGAGATGCGGTTTTGCCATGTTACCCAGGCTGGTCTTGAACTGGTCTCAAGTGATCTACCCTCCTTGGCCTCCCAAAGTGCTGGGATTACAAGTGTTAGTCACCGCACCTGGCCCCAAGTGGTCCCTTCTAAGAGAGGTTTTCAAGTGACAAAGTCCTTGGTGTCTAAGGATAGACATCAGGCCATTGTCCACGTCTGGGAGGTAACCTGAGGAGGTGAAAATTCACACAGCCATGAAATAATAGATGTAGTCATAAAGAATAAGCAAAAAAGAACAAAGAAGAATAATAAGGAATAAATGAAGGTTGAGTTATTTAGAGCTGGGCAAGGGCCTGGTTCAGAAGAGGAAGTAAGTGGATGCAGCTGCCACAGGATGAGGGTGTGATTTAGATAATTCTGACATCTAGACTGAGAGCTACAGGGTTGCATATTATTCTCACTTCATTGGATATTCTCAGCACAGTCAGCAACCATGAAATACAATAAACTGTTAAAAAAAAAACTTCAGATGAATTAAATTTAACAGAATTAAATTGCACAAGAAACAATTCTCAAATCAGGCAGGCCCCTGACCCACCAACCAGATTAGGTTTAGAGACATCCAGGTGCTGCCACGTGGTCAGAGATGACTTACGGACATAAAAAGAAAAGTGAGGTGCAGGAAACGGAAGTAAGGTACAGAAGCAGCCCAATAGGTTACAACTCAGTATTTGCCTTATTTAAACATGGTTTGGCCAGGCACGGTGGCTCATGCCTGTAATCCCAGTGCTTTGGGAGGCCGAAGTGGGCAGATCACTTGAGGTCAGGAGTTCGAGATCAGCCTGGTCAATGTGGTGAAACCCCCATATCTACTAAAACACAAAAGTTAGTTGGCCATGGTGGCATGCACCTGTAATCCCAGCTACTTGGGAGGCTGAGGCAAGAGAATCGCTTGAACCCAGGTTGCAGTGAGTCGAGATTGTGCCAGTGCACTCCATCCTGGGTGACGGTGAGACTCTGTCTCAAAGAACATAAAAATAAAAAACATGATTTGAACAATCAGCCACCTGTGAGTAGTTGAGCATGGCTTCTATGATTGACTGAGATTTGGCTGCTTGTTACAAGAGCAGTTACAGTCTGTTTACACATCCAATTAGGTTATAGTTCACTATGTATGGAGAAATCTGTAGGCCAGGGATGTCCAATCTTTTGGCTTCCTTGGAAGAATAATCCTCTTGGACCACCCATAAAATACACTAATGCTAACAATAGCAGATGCATTTTTTAAAATTGCAGATAAATCTTATAATGTTTTAAGAAAATTTATGAATTTGTGTTGGGTTGGTTGAATTTCAAAGCCGTCCTGGGTCACATGTGAACTGCGGGCCAACAGGTTGGACAAGCTTGATTTACACCAAACTTAAATTTAGCCTAAAGCTGCCTCCTCACGTATTTCAACAAAACTGAGTTTTGGTTTTTCAAGTTTGCCTCCATGTAGTACTCAGATATGCTTGGGACTTGAAATATATATATTTTAACTTGTTATCTGTATGCTAATATTTAATATCCTAAGGACAGGTGGCAGGGTGTGGGCAACTGAAATCCAGCCAGCAGAACAGAGAGAGATTTGGGGGAACACCAATGCCAGTGTCATGACACTGCTCTTCAGAAACAACTGAGGAGTTCTAGAAATCTCTGCTGTGCAGTCTTCGCCACAGAAATTCTGAAAATTGAATACCGTATTGAATACACAGGTAAAAGCAAATAGTAAGATGATAAAATTTTTGGACATAGTGGTAGATCTGGGGTTAGAACCTAGGGTTATTGACTGTGAATTCAGCGTCCCTTTCAAAATATCAGATTACACCTTTTAGGGCTTTGTAGGAACTCAAATCTGCTAATAGGTTTGTACCTGAAGAGTAATATGAGAAACATTTGTTTTTTAAACACATTCTTCAAAAGTGGCATCTTTTCAATGATTTTTAAAAAGACAGTAACATGATAGTTGCCAAAACTATGGATAAAAGGCTGCAGAGAAAGCAGCATGAAACACTTAACACTAGCCAACATCCTTGGTTGTAAGTGAAATAGAAACATAGCCTGAAATGGAATTTACTGGAAGCCTTTTGAGTAACTGTTCTGTGTGGGAAATGTGCGAGGGGAAAAGACAAACATACGGCCGGGTGCGGTGGCTCACGCCTGTAATCCCAGCACTTTGGGAGGCCAAGGCGGGCGGATCACGAGGTCAGGAGATCGAGACCATCCTGGCTAACACGGTGAAACCCCGTCTCTACTAAAAATACAAAAAAATTAGCCGGGCATGGTGGCGGGCGCCTATAGTCCCAGCTACTCGGGAGGCTGAGGCAGGAGAATGGCATGATCCCGGGAGGCAGAGCTTGCAGTGAGCCGAGATCATGCCACTGAACTCCAGCCTGGGTGACAGAAAAAGATCCCCTCAAAAAAAAAAAAAAAAAAAGACAAACATACAATACCTTTGAGGGTAAACAACCTTTATCCCACGTAAATGGCAATGCAGATATAATAAGCAAATTGCAATGGGAAGGGGAGAAGGGGGAAAAAAAAATATAAATATATATATATGCACCAGACTATGGAGGATGCATCACCATACCGGAAAGCAACAGCCTGGGCTCCAGAGTCAGCCACTTGTCTGTGCACAGAGGAGGAGAGGTCTCATGAAGCTTTGGCGTGGCCTGGGACCCTGGCTCATTTTTTTTTTTTTTTTTTTTTTTTTTGAGACAGAGCCTCTCTCTGTCACCAGGCTGGAGTGCAACGGCACGATCTCCGCTCACTGCAACCTCCGCCGCCAGAGTTGGAGTGATTCCCCCGACTCAGCCTCCGGAGTAGTTGGGACTACAGGTGCATGCCACCACGCCTGGCTAATTTTTTGCATTTTAGTAGAGATGGGGTTTCACCATGTTGGTCAGGCTGGTCTTCATCTTCTGACCTCGTGATCTGCCCGCCTTGGCCTCCCAAAGTGCTGTGATTACAGGCGTGAGCCACTACGCCCGGCCACCCTGGCTCTTTTTGTAATGCGTCGATTGGCATGACGCCCAGTCACGAGGGCCCTTCGCGACTGGGCTCAAGGAACATATAAAGGTCAACTTGTTTTTGCGATTGTCTGTTTTCCAATAACTCAAATACAGGCACAGAGTTATCTGTAACAGTGCTGGATGAATGAATGCCTCAAGGGGCTCATGCAACCTGTTCCGGACTTGATGACCATTGTGTCTACGTTCAATTGAGTTCAAATTTAACATTTTACTTTTCCTCCACAGTAACTGGCAGAATTATAGGGAAGGCTGGAGGAACACGTACCAAGGTTGGGTGGAGGAAGCTACGAGGCTGGAGCCAGCTTCAAGGGTGGGGAGCCACTGACACCACGTCCAGAATGGCTGCCATGCTGCCTCTACTGGATTCAGGTTGCAATTGGGAGTCGGGGAAGGAGGAGGGGTTTGGGCGGGTGTCACTCCACCCCTTTGACGGATACAGACCGGCCTTAGGACCCGGCGCAGCACGGCATGAAGCTTGGAAGCGGGCTAGGGGAGGCCGTCGCTCATATCTGACGTCACCAGCTCGCGCCGGCGGTAGGTGAGGACGCCAACAGCAGCCGAGAAACGTTTCTCTTTCCTCTCAGCTTGCGCACACGATGGCGGCCCCCGCCCAGTCGACTACGCAGCCTGGCGGCGGGAAGCGCAAAGGCAAGGCTCAGTATGTGCTGGCCAAGCGCGCTCGGCGCTGCGACGCTGGCGGGCCCCGTCAGCTAGAGCCCGGGCTACAGGGCATCCTCATCACCTGCAACATGAACGAGCGCAAGTGCGTGGAAGAGGCCTACAGCCTGCTCAACGAATACGGCGACGACATGTATGGGCCAGAAAAGGTACCGGTACCGGGGCGGGCGGGCTGCTAGGCCTTGCGGGAGGAGGGAAGGCTGGAGGGTTGGCTGTCGGTATGGGCATGCGCGCTTTGGGTCGTCGGCGTGACGGCTGTAGGGGCGTGGTCTCTCCGGCGTTTCCGTCACTAGCCCTGAGACGTTCGCAGACTTCGGCGCTGTCGTCTTTTGTGCTTGTAGTGCTTGCACCTTTTCTTTCCATCATTAACCACGGTAGCTCCCATTACTTTTATGTTTATTTTTGTGAGACAGGGTCTCGCTCTATTTCCCAGGCTGGAGTGCAGTGGCGGGATCATAGTTCAGGGGAGCCTCGACTTCCCGGGCTCCAGCGATTCTCCTGCCTCAGCCTCCCGAGTAGCTGGGACTACAGGTGCGCGCCACCACTCTCGGCTAATTTTTCTAATTTGTAGATAAGGGGTCTCACTGTTTTGGTCAAGGTAGTCCTAAACCCTACGCTCCAGCGATTCTCCCGTCTCTGCCTCTCAAAGTGCTGAGATTACAGGCGTGAGCCACTGAGCCCGGCCTAGCTCCCACTTATGGACAGCTCACTGAGGGCCACGCGGTGTGCTGAAGCTCTTTCAGAAGCACATTTCTCATGACAGCCTTGTGAAGTTGGAGTAATAATGTGTTTACCTGAAGCAATAATATTTTTGAAATAATAGGTTTACTACTAATGCCAGTTATTGCACTTACAATACATTTTAGAAAGTAAATCTTTTTTATCATTATCACCTAAAGTCTTACTGTTTGGAAATCATATTACTGTCTTAGAATCTGGACCAACACTGTGAGGGATTAAATGAAGAAGGGTAATAATACAGAAGGAATTTAAATTCACGGCTCGTACTTTACCAGCTGGGGACTCGGACATGGGCACATTATTTGATGCTGCTGAGCTAGATAAAAAGGAGAATACTTTAAGACTGGCTAGTGAGTTGCTTATGTACATAAAGTACATACTGGTATGTAATAAAGTTTCAGTAAATGTATACAATTATTGTGCCTGATTGGCGATTTCATTGGGCACTGGGGGGCAGAGAAATGGGCAACAAGTACATATCCTGTCTACTCCTGTACTTTGAGCAAATTCTTTTTTTGGAAGCAGTCTTGCTCTGTCACCCAAGGTGGAGGCTGGAGTACAGTGACATGATCTTGCTCACTGTAACCTCCACCTCCGAGGCTCAAGCAATCCTCGTGTCTCAGCCCCCGAGTAGCAGGGACTGCAGGAAGGTGCCATCACACCCGACTAATTTTTTGCATTTTTTGTAGAAAGGGGTTCTCAGGCCATGTTGTCCAGGCTGGTCTCAATTCCTAGGCTCAAGGGATCTGCCCATCTCTGACCCCCAAAGTACTGGGATTACAGGCGTGAGCCACCATGCTTGGCCAAAATTATTGAACAAGTATTTCTGTGCTTTGTTCCTTAATAGAACAAGAGTAAGGCTTTTTAATTCCACAAGTATTTGGTCTAATCTCACCAAAAGGAAAGTATCATGGCAGTCACACAGATACCTGGTCAAGGTGTTAAGGTCCACCCTGAAATGATTGATCTGGTCAGCACATTTCTCTCTGTCTCAAACTGTCAGGATGCTTTTGAAAACATTTTCAAATTTTACATACTATATCTGTGGGAATTCCCTCTTCCTCCACATTTTTTTTTTTTAATTTTTTTGAGACAGAGTCTTGCTCTGTCACCCAGGCTGGAGTGCAGTGGTGCAATCTCAGCTCACTGCAACATTGCCTTCTAGGTTCAAACAATTCTCCTGCCTCAGCCTTCCAAGTAGCTGGGATTACAGGCGCCTGCCACCACACCGGGCTAGTTCTTGTATTTTTAGTAGAGACAGGGTTTCACCATGTTGGCTAGGCTGGTCTCGAACTCCTGACCTCAGGTGATCTGCTTGCCTCAGCCTCCAAAAATGCTGGGATTACAGGCGTGAGCAACCTCTTCCGGCCTTGCTCCATGTTTTGAAGGGTGTGGTGTCCCAGTTTCATAATAAAAAGCTTTATTATCAATACTGAGCCAGCTGGGCATGGTGTCTCATGCCTATAATCCCAGCACTTTGGGAGGCTGAGGCGAGTGGATCACCTGAGGAGTTCAAGACCAGCCTGACTGACATGGCAAAAGCCCATCTCTACTAAAAATACAAAAATTAGCTGGGCGTGGTGGCATGCGCCTGTAATCACAGTTATTTGGGAGGCTGAGGCAGGAGAATTGATTGAACCCAGGAGGCGGAGGTTGCAGCGAGCCAAGATTGCACCACTACACTCCAGCCTGGGAGACAAAGTGAGACTCCATCTTAAAAAAAAAAATCAATACTGAGCTGCCTGCCACAAGGAATTTCACATAAATGATTACTTACAGTGTTTAAATGTGAGCTGTTGTGTCATTTCTGCTCATTAGTTTTATGCAAACAGTTTACAGACAAGGATCAGCAGCCCTCTGGAAGTGAGGGAGAGGATGATGATGTGGAGGCTGCCTTGAAGAAAGAAGTTGGTGACATTAAGGCATCTACAGAGTTGAGGCTAAGAAGATTCCAGTCAGTGGAAAGTGGAGCAAATAACGTCGTCTTCATCAGGACACTTGGGATAGGTGTGACGAATACTTGTTAAGATTATTGATCTTATAACATCTGGGTATATTCCTCTCTCAGGGAATACTGCTTACAAAATGGCTTCTTGGGCATGACTCAATCATTTGATGGCAGCTTCTGTACACTATATTAGCAGTTGGCCTGTGGAGAGGTAGTATGGGGTGGTGAATGTAGCATTGGCTTAAGAGTGGAAACCTGGCTTTGCTGCTTCCTTCGTATATAACTTAAAGCAGAACTAGAGTGCCTGTTCTGTCTAAAAGGGGCAGCTGCTACTCAGCTCCAGCCAGTTGTTGCTCTTTGGGAATGCAGGACCAGGTGTTCGAATTTCTCAAAATAAGTTGGAAATCTGGAGTTTTTAAATTTTTCAATGTAGTCAACTAATTTAAAAATTTTCAGAGCAGCCCCAAGTAGACTTGTATGTAGGTAGGTTGCAGCCTGAGGACCTCCCTTTCATGATCTCATGCCCAACATGGTTCTGGGATTCCTCCTGGGTCTGAGATATAGACTTCTGTGCTAACTTAGCTAATGGATTAATTACATCCTTTAAAGTGACTCACAGATTTTTTTTTTTTTTTTTTTTTGGTAAAAAAGTATGTACTGTTTAATGTACTCTGATAGTTGTTACAGGAAAACAACAGCATGATGTTAAGGTTGGATAACGCAGGACGTCACAAAAATGTTAACAACAGTGTCTAAACAGTCATTTCTAGTGCAAACAGTAATAATGAAAAGTTAAAATATTAGATACATTATAATACATATTAGGCACTGAAGAAATACTAGTTGGAAAAACGACTAGGTAGATTCATTTAAATTCATTATCAGAATTTCTTCTGTCAACTTATGTCATTGCCAGTGAAAATTCATTTTAGAGTTCAGTCTTTAGGATGTCTGAGAAATTACCTTCTTAACTTTTTTTTTCTGTTGTTTTCTTTTTTCTTAAGAACCTGAGAAATTGGTGCATCATATTCTCCAGGATATGTACAAAACCAAGAAGAAGAAGACTCGAGTTATTCTACGAATGTTACCGATCTCAGGCACATGCAAGGCTTTTTTAGAAGATATGAAAAAATATGCACAAACATTTTTGGAACCCTGGTTTAAAACTCCTAACAAAGGGACATTTCAAATTGTGTACAAATCTCGAAATAACAGTCACGTGAATAGAGAAGAAGTTATCAGAGAATTGGCAGGTGTGTTTCTCTTAGTGATTTTCCATAGGCGTTCAATAGTAAATACTTGTTTTTAAAGGATTTTTTTTTCTTTTTAAAGATTTAAGGCTTACATTTTTGAGTGTAGAACAAATATATTAAAATGTTCTTAAAATAATATTAAATCAACTGATTTCAATATGTTGGATATGAGATTTTCTGGTAGTTAGATAAAGTCTTTTTTAACTCAAAATTGAATTTTGTTTGGAAAAAAATATTCTTACTAAATGTTGTAGGGTTTCGTTTGTATTTATTTATTGTAAGGGTTCAGAGTATTTGAAGTCCACATAGAGGAGTGGATTACTGTATGTCTTATTTTAACAAGAAACAGAGACAAAAGATTTTTTGTATCTGTCAAACATAATGGTATCCTCAGCTATGTGTTTTTCTGTTTTTGTTACAGGAATAGTGTGCACCCTCAATTCAGAAAATAAAGTGGATCTCACCAATCCACAGTATACGGTGGTAGTAGAAATCATCAAAGCTGTCTGTTGCCTGAGTGTTGTGAAAGATTACATGTTGTTTAGAAAATACAATCTCCAGGAGGTGGTGAAGAGCCCTAAGGATCCATCACAGCTTAACTCAAAGCAAGGAAATGGGAAAGAAGCTAAATTGGAATCTGCTGACAAATCAGACCAAAACAACACAGCAGAAGGAAAAAATAACCAGCAGGTACCGGAGAATACTGAGGAGCTGGGGCAGACAAAACCAACGTCTAATCCGCAGGTGGTAAATGAGGGAGGAGCCAAACCTGAACTTGCAAGTCAAGCCACAGAAGGATCCAAGTCAAATGAAAATGACCTCCCATAGGAAGTCATTCGGTGTTGGAGGTGGGTTTCTTACCTGGGGCTCTCTGAGATGTTGCTGGGGTTTTACCTTAAATTGTGACTTAAAAACAGTTTTTTATTTGTGTGCTGCATTATGCTGTTCTCACAGTAGTGAACAATGATTGCGCAGCCCTGTTAAGTTTTGTTAGGGATCTTTCAGCCCTTATGGTATTATGTAGAGGCAGATCCATGTGCTGCTATTGCAAAGAGGGGAGGATAGGAGGAGGCGGATGTTGACCTCTCCCAGGCTCCTCTTCTGCAGTGCCAGCTGACTTATGGGAGTGAACTGACTGTGAAGTAGAAAATCAGAGGGAAGTTTTCATTCTAAGGAAGGCGTTTTTACATGCCACAGCTCAGCTGTCCCGCTGCCACTTTGTTGTAAACATTGCAAAAATGTGGATCATGTAGGTTAGAAGTGAATTGTTTAGTGACGTTTTTGTACTTTTGTGATTTTCTTGTTTATGTCTGTTTTTATTTTTTTATTTTTATTTTTTAACATTTGTGTGTAACAAAGTTGACAGTCCAGTGCCGCAATTTTGGAAGGCAAGATATGAGAGAGGAGAACCATTTAGGCATAGAGCTACAGACATTTCTGAAAAGGTTGGTGATGAAGAATTTCAGTCTTCTGAGTATACTTCAGTATACTAGTGCAACAAGGGACACAAAGAAATTCTGTCTTTATAATGAAAGCTACTTCTCAAGGGTTTTATATGGACTCAGTCCAAGCTGTCCTATCCTATTGTGCACTGTCTGTGGCCTGCAACTTATAAAACTAGTAATTGTAACTAAATCACAGCCACTTGACAAGAAAGGATATTCATTATTTTCAAATGGCTTTTAGACTGTCAAAACAAAAACAGTAAGGCTTTTGTTCAGAAATCACATTTAGTCAAAAGGTTTAAGAAGCAGATTATTTAGTAGCAGAACTTATCTCAGGAAAGGAAAATATGCATAGTTGGTGAGAATCTAATAACATTAAAATGCTGGGGCAAGATGCAGTACAAAATTGAAAAGACTTTATTTTCTCAGTAAGTTGATTTACTGATGATATCTCATATGATGCAAAAAAGGTTTTGTGTCGTTAACTGAAAAGTGGCAGCTTCTCTATGCAGGATGATGAGTCAACAGGTTTCACTAATACTTGTCATGCTGTAGCATTTGTAAGATTTATAAATGATGAAATTCAAAGAAAACTTTTTCTTTTGCTAGGAGCCTGCCAAAACAAAGGCCAATATATAATGTTGTGACATCTTACCTGATAACCAGAGGTTTGTTATCTATACTTCTGGTGCCCCATCAGTGGTTGTCTCCATAAGTCATTTTGCATTATTAAAAAAGAAATCCTGATGTTGACATTATAGCACACTGCTTTCTTCACAGAGATGCTGATATCAAAAACTTGAAGATACAGTGATGTTTTGAATAATGTTACAAAACTGGTTACCTATGTCAAAGACCTATTTATGCAAAAATGTTTAAAAAAAAAAAAAAAAAAAAAACACCCAAAAGAAAAACCTGGACAAACAGCACATAAACCTCCTGCACCATACAGACATCCATTGGCTTATCAGAGGAAGAGTTCTCTACAGGATATTTGAATTGAAAGGTGAATTACCAGAGTACTTACAAGAAAACAGCCAGCTTTTGCTGAGTACTTTGGAAATGAAAAATGGCTACAGGAACTAGCCTATTTTGCAGACGTTTTTCATCACATGAACACATGGACAAGTCTCTGAAAGGTTCAGGGGAAAATTTTTTTTCTTAAAGTGACAAGAGTGCTAGATCTAAAAGGAAACTGACTTGCCACCTTGCCAGAGGAATGCTTGAAATGTTTCTGCAGCCACTTGGACTTGAAAATGAAGGGTACAACTCTCAAATCCTCTCTAACCCAACTGGAGGAACCACAAGACCCAATGAAATAGCATTTTCTGTCCTTTTCCCAGCACTAGTATATAACCGTATGAGGAACCCTTGTCTATGAATCTGCTCAGCTTGAAATTTTGTCTCTGAAGGAAGAGAATGAACTCAGCCCTAGTCTGACAGTCCTAAATTTCTGTGAAATGAGAATATTCTTCAAGTTAATGCTCACATTCACATACCATGAGGGTTCTCTGTAGGGGTTTCCTGAATTTGAAAGTTTTTTCAAGGCCTATTTTTGGATAAAACAATTGAAAAGGCAGACAGCAACAAAGTCTGCAAAGTAAACTGTCCAGATTAAGAATATTAAGAAGCTGTAAAGTTAGCTTGTAGAAATGGGCTTATCCTTAAGTTTTAAAGTTAGGAATTGCTAAAAATGTTAGGGTTCCCGCACAAGTGGCTATGTTTATTTAATGGCTAGTGAACATGGGAATATATTTTTATCCTAGCTAGTGGTTCTATTTGGCAAACTAGACTAGAATGATTTGAGAGGGGTAAAGAGAATAGGCAGGACCTTCCTTCTGTAGCTTACATATTTCGAATGTTAATTCTTAATGACATTGAAGTTACTTTGAAATGATTGATAAGAGGATTGTTAATATCATTTAGGGGAATAGGGAGGATAGGATTTTGGTGCCTTCTTCAGCAGACTTGCTCCAAGACAAAGATTCTATTTTGATAGTGCAAGACAAAAGGACTCGGAAAAAAACTGGCCATATGCCTACAGAACATACAACTCTGTGGAACTAAATTGTTTTTACTTTGTAAAAGCTGCTACTTTACGGAAAGATTTTGATTTTATAGTTTTGTTTTTAATTGCCTTTTATATTTATTTGTATTTGATAAGACTCAGTTGTTATACAAACTATTCTTTCCCAGTTACAGAATCCTGTGTTCGGTTGTAACCTGAACTCATTAAAATACTTGTTTTCAGGTTTATCAACTGTTCATTTTCACTGACATTTGAGCATGTTATTTTATAAATGACGAGATTCCAGAGTAGGAAGTAAGTGCTTTTTATTCCCCTTTTGTTTTTTCTTTTAAAAAATTACATCAGTTAAAAAAAAAACTGCAGTCTTGTCGTTTAGAAAATGTTTAGTTCCATAGAGGAAAGAATGTTAAACTTTGTATTTTAAAACATGATTCTCTAAGGTTAAACATGGTTTTCAAATGTTATTTTTACTTGTATTTTGCTTTTGGTACAGCCAAATATCAAGCTTGTTTTTCATAGTTCTGATATTTTCAGAAAAATCAAAATAAATTTGTTCCCTAAAATTGGTGTTCTGTACTTTTTCTTTCTTTCTGACTCTTAGTAAATCTGTTGCTTTATAGTATATATATATCATAAAAGATGTTTATATGTCAAATTATAAAAAGTCATGGACATGAACCTAAAAAGTATAGAAAATCTATTAATTACCCTTGATCCTTAAATCCAAGTTTCAGATATTTTACAGTTAATTTGCTTCAAAATGAGCCACAGTAATACAGTACTTACTTTCATTAAACTCACTTACTAATTTTTGAATTATACTCCTCATTTTAACAGTATTTTAAATGTCTTAAAGTTTGATCTCATAAAGTTGTTAAGCAGAAGAAATTGTCTTGAAAGCAGAAGAAATTGTCTTGAACATTTAGGGTATATCTTTATTTTGAATTAATCAGGCACAAAATACAGATTCATTGTGCACTTTCTTTTTCTAAGTAATCATTTGACTCCTATTTTAAACACTAGAAACCATTATTACCTTTGTCAGTTTGGTTATTAAAACAATTTTCATCCATATATTTTTAGACTTTTCTTTTTTAATTTTTTAGCTAAGTAGTAAACAAAAACTTCAACCAGGAAGGATCTTAAACATTTTAAGAGAGTAGTCACGGAATTATCAGGAACAAATAATGAGAGAAAGCAATCATATTACTACTTAACCCTTCAGTTTTTTTTTATCAAGCTATCGACCCCATTCTTGGTCTCTTAAAACATTGTGTTTGATTTTCCCAGTGATTGTCTTTGGGAGTTCTTGAACAAATTCCACCTAATATACAGAAAAACATTATGAGACATTTGATTCCATTCTTCCAGTTAGTGCAATAGGAGGGAGCTTGCATGAAACTCTGAGACTGAATTTTAAAGTCTAGATTATCTTGATAATAAGCCTAAGCTTATTGAATCTCATGGACACTAGAAACCGTTCTGTTTATATAAGAAGGGTGACAGTGTAGCTCCATCTTAGGGGTTTTTAGTGCAAATTCACTTAAATGCTTTGCCACAAGAAAGTAATAATCCCTTTACCCCATTGCTTTCCCCTAGTTCAAACTAGTCCTAGGTCTCTACTGTTCCTGGAAAATGGAGACTACACCTAAATGCAAAAAGAACACTTAGTTCTTGTCTTTTCAGAGCTGGATCCTGGAGATTGAAGATCTTTTAGGGATAATTTGGAATATATACAGTTTTCTGCCCTGGCTTGACCATAAAAATCCTCTTTTTATTCTGTTCTCTCAAAATAAGACTACTACTGTATTTTAAAATGCCCTCAAATAGCCTTTCTGAAAGTCAAAGTTCATTAATTTAGTGAATGTAATGGAGAAAATGTGAGTAGTTCTTAGGTTGAAATTAACTACCTTTTGACTGAAATGATGCTAACTGAAATAGAAATTTCATGCAGATGATCAGTCAATATCAACCAATTCCATGGTTAGAAGGAAACTACAGGGCCATCTTCATGTCTTTATATAGTATAGTTCTTAAATCATTCGATGAAAGTTTCTGGTTTCTTTGGGTATTCTTTCTGAATATTAAATGGGGCCCCTTGATATGTACAGTCATGTTCTTTGAATTTATAGGGGTATTAGGGCCAAGAGTCCTAGGATAGATGTCAAGTGCTGTCCCTAAAAACAAGGCAGTTGGTCATTCTTGGCCACTGTTCTTTTCTCATACAGAATGAGACGAAAGATTTCTAGAAAGATTCTTAGTAGCGATTCAGTATTGCAGAGTTGATTAAAGGCTCTAGTTCATCATGCATTTATACTGTTCTAACAAAACATTTTCAGATTCTTAGGGCTAAACAAAAAAAGGTGCCTTCTACCTATGTAATGAGCTACTATATGGTCAACATAGTGAGACCCCATCTCTACAAAGACTAAAAAGAAAAATTTAGGCAGGGCACAATGGTGCACACGTGTAGTCCTAGCGACTCAGGAGGCTGAGGCGGGAGGATCGCTTGAACCCAGCAGTTTGAGGTTGCATTGAGCTATAACTGCACGACTGAACTGCTTTTGCCTGAGTAACACAGCAAGTCTCCGTCTCAAAACAAAACAAAATGAAGCAAAAAACTCTCAGGAAAGATTGATCTATCTCTACAAGGTCGTTTCTTGCCTCATATTGTTTGCTTCTCTTTGTAATACTGTTTAAAACCTACCAATTAGAAAATTACTGAGGTTAGTAAGCATAATTTATATTATTCATTGTTCATACATTGATTCTAATTGGTGGTTACTTCTGTTCAGCTGAAATCATTTATATTGAGAGAATGAGAACATGGCAGCAAAAGGAAACTATTTCTGAGAATGGAATAAATGGGGAGTGGAGGGGGTATAAATGGTAAGAGTAGGGGACCCATAGTGTCACTGCAGAGGTTCACTGGTGTGTGAGAGGGAGAGGTACAGATGTGGGAGGATTCTGACAAACTTTTGAAATTTTGTCACTTGCTGTGTCTGTAGGAAACGTCCATGAGGAAAGGAAATTAGGAAAATAGGGCTTCTTCCTAGAAGTAAGACTATTATTGTCATTGCGAGAGTTTCCTTTCCATTGGTCCTAAACAGTCTCATGAGACTTGTTTGGGAAACTGGCCACAATTTTCTGTTTGCCTTGTTTCTGTGAGAAAATGTATTCTGAGTTCCATGGCAGTTGTCCATTCAGTGAAATCTGCTGCCTATCCAGTGAAATCTGCATATGCTTATACAGTATCTGTTTCCCCTTTTTAGTAGCTACTGTAGTTTTTCCTATAGAGTATTACCCTAACTTCTCTCTGGTGGGATTGACACCAACCCCTATCTCCAATGACAGACATATTGAGAGGTGACAGCGTGCTGGCAGCCCTGGCTCACTCTCAGTACTTCCTCGGCCTTGGCGTCTGCTTTGGCCACGCTTGAGGAGCCCTTCAGCCCACCACTGCACTGTGGGAGCCCGTCTCTGGGCTGGCCAAGGCCAGAGCTGGCTCCCTCTGCTTGCAGGGAGGTATGGAGGGAGAGGCGCGGGCAGGAGGCTTAGCACCTGGGCCAGCAGCTGTGGAGGGTGCGCCGGGTCACCCAGCACTGCCGGCCTGCCGGGCTCGAATTCTCGCCGGTCCCCCAGCACTGCAGCCCGCCATGCCCATGCTGGAGCCTCCCCTAGAGGTGCCACCCCCTGCTCCGCGGAACCAGGTCCCATCAACCACCCAACGACTGAGGAGTGCAGGTGCCGGGCAGGACTGGCGGGCAGCTCCGCCCAAGGCCCTGGTGCGGGGTCCACTAGGCTAGCCAGCTGGGCTCCTTAGTCGGGTGGGGACTTGGATAACTTTTATGTCTAGCCAGAGGATTGTATATGCATTGTATGTGTCTAGCTTGGGGTTCATGGTTGCACCAGTCAGCACTCTGTATCTAGCTAATCCGGTGGGGACCTGGAGAACCTTTATGTCTAGCTAAAGGATTGTAAATACACCAATCAGCACTCTGTGTCTAATTCAAGGTTTGTGTAAACACCAGTCTGTACCCTGTGTCTAGCTCAAGGTTTGTAAATGCACCAGTCAGTGCTCTGTGTCTGGTTAAGCTGGTGAGGACTTGGAGAACTTTTTTGTCTAGCTAGAGGATTGTATACACACCAATCAGCAGCCTGTCAAAATGGACCAATCAGCTCTCTGTAAAATGGACCAATCAGCAGGATGTGGGTGGGGTCAGATAAGGGAATAAAAGCAGGATGCCTGAGCCAGCAGTGGCGGCCGCTGTCATCCCTTTTCACGCTGTGTAAGGTTTGTTCTTTCACTCTTTTCAATAAATCTTGCTGCTGCTCGCTTTTTGTGTCCACACCTCATTCATGAGTTGTAATACTCACCACAAAGGTCTGCAGCTTCACTCCTGAAACCAGTGAGACCATGAACCCACCGGGAGGAATGAACAACTCCAGATGCTACCGCCTTTAAGAGCTGTAACATTCACCACGACTGTCCATGGCTTCATTCTTGAAATTAGCAAGACCAAGAACCCACCAATTCCGGACACAATATGATCCAAGTCTGGCCGATCAGCATATACGATTACCCTGAACCACACTGGTAAGAGATGTGATCTAAGGTAGGCAAATGCAGTCCTGAGACTTGAAACGATTGAAAACAGAGCTCTGTCCTTTCCTGGAGGGATGGAGGGTTGCTAACCTGTGTAAGTCTGGAGTTGATTGCTATCAAATAGGAAGAACCCGCTCAAATAGAGCCAGCATAAAGAACAGAAGAGCCAAAAATGGAGAGAGACTAAGTCTTGCCAACCTTACATGAACCCTTGGATGTGGCTGTACTTGAATACTTGTCACTTACCATGAGCCAAATGTCTTTTTTTTTTTTTTTTTTAACTTAGGACAGTTTGAGTTGTTTCTGTCACTTGCCTTCAAAAGAATCCTAATAGCTCCCCTTTGGGACACAACTTACTGTAAAGTTGGTTGCCTGGTTTATATTTTGGCCAAATGCATGCCTCATAGTGAAAATTAAATGACCACTTTTGGTTCAGCCTTTACCGTAGTCAAATGGACAGAACTCGAAAATATAAAGTTGCTACTTTAATTAATGACATTCATCTACCTCTCCGCAAATTGGATCTGGACTACTGACAACAGCCGATTCGACAACTGCTGGGTGCTCAGCAAGCGCACTCTCCACTTCAAATGGCCCAATATGTTACCTGAAAAGGAAAAGAGGCCTTTGACCACCACATCCTCCAGTAGGAGATCTCCCTTCCTGTCAATCCTTGCCTCTTAAGAGTGGCAAATCTACAAGCTCAGAGGAAATAATGACATCATCAACTCTGCCGGCAAACCAGAAATCCCCATCGCTGTCCATCATTCCTCTGTCTCCAGTGACATAAAAATCTCCCTTTACCATGGCAGCAGTTTTCTCTGGACTGTCCTAGGAATCAAAGATGACATTTGGGGATTAGTTTGGTCAGAACAGAGACGGACATGGCACTCATTAAGTGACAAATTGTACTTCTAAAGGAAATTATTTATTTTATATTTTGAGACAGAGTCTGTTGCCTATCCTGGACTGCAGTGGCTTGATCATAGCTCACTGCAGCCTTGACCTCCCAGGCTGTAGCAATCCTGTCGTCTCAGCCTTCTGAGTAGCTGGGACCACAGGCATGTGCCACCACACCTGGCTAATTGTTTTATGTTTTTGTAGAGACAGGGTCTCGCTATATTTCCCAGGCTGGTCTTGAATTCTTGGGCTCAAGTCACCCTCCCACCTCGGCCTCCCAAAATGTTGTGATTACAGGCATGAGCCACTGTCCATGGCTGGAAATTAATTTTTTAATAAAGGTAGTTCCTAGTGTAAAATACAAAAGGTCCCAAAGAGTATAATAAAAAGCTGCTCTTCTGCCTCTAGCACCCCCCAACTGCACCCCCATCCTACCCTGTCCAGTTGTCCTTTCTGAGGATAACCACTGCAACTGGTTTGTTACATTTGGAATTTCATCTTTACAATACTCAGATGATAGATGATAGTCTCCGCATTTTACTGCTGATGAAATAGATTTTGTTGTTTGCCCAAGGTTACAAGCAAGACATGGTGGAAATGAAATTTGGACCGAGGTCTGTATTAAGGCATGACTAGCACTTTCTATCCTCATACCACATATTCAGAGAAGAAACAGAAGGGCAGCGTAGACTTTAGTCTGAGGGCAATTTCTCCTTCTTTGCCAGGTGGTAGAACATTGCCATTTTCATCTACAATCTAGAATGAAAGACAATTGATAGTCTTAAAATTTTCTTTTCACAAAATGACAGCAGGTTGTGAAGAGTTGTACAGTGAATAGCAGAAAACTGTAAAACGTTCTTTCTGCTTTATCGAAGCAGTCAGATATTTTCTCAACCTCCTGGACATCACAGTGCAGCATTCTTTTCCCCATTGAGCCTGGTTTAATTTTTTTTCCTTTCTAATCAGCACAAATTATTCCCTATTGAGAGGACAAACTTTGCATAAGTAGACAAAAATTTATTTTCTGAAATGATATCATGACAATGAAACTTAAGATTCAATTTGGACTAATTTTCCCAGTATTTAAGCACACCTACTGAAATATGCTATTTGAGACCAGGAGTTCTCAAACATGGGTGTGCTTTAGAATCAAATTGGAGATTCTGGAGCATTGTTGAAACACAGATTTATGGGCCTCATCCCAGAGTTTCTAATGCGTTAGGTGTGGAGTGGGGTCCAAGAATTTGCATTTCTACCAAATTTCCAAATGATGCTGGTGTTGCTGGTTTGAGGACCACACTTTGAAAACTTCTCCTTAGACTCCATTAAGTGCACCTTGGAATAAATTCCCCACAGAGGCTCTCAGATGATTCTTCCCAGCACAGTTGGAAAGATGAGCTGCTCAGTTCTGAGCCTCACCCACCTACTAAAGCCCCTAAGATTTCTCCTGCATGAAGGGGAGGCGAGTATGATGGAATAATCATCATCACCCCTTTAGCAAAATCTAACTGAGCAGTTTGCCGGTTTTGGTAACTACTGGCAAGATGAGGTGTACTGGGAAACTCTGTAAAAATTTAGAGTGGGATGGAGGCACTTCAGGGGCTCAGGTTGAAAATCCTGGGGCAGAAAGGCCCCCACATATAATAAACATAAATGTTGCTCTTTAAATATATCACTTCTGCCTGTCCATAGCCCTCATGTAGCTCCAGCCCAGTTTGCGCCCTCCACTGCTCCAGCACCTCTGGGGTGAGTGCCTCCCCTCCTGTCAAGCAGTGCCACAGCCTCTTGAATTCATATCTGGAGAGACAGAGTTGCATGGTGCCTTTTTGAGAGGAACCTGAGTGCTTTCCCTGCAAGATAATTAGGACATTCAAGCAGCAAGCATAGAAGCTAGGAGAGGCAAGTCTTAGGAAAGTTCCTTCGACAAATACTTGTTGAACACCTACTGTATTGCCTGACATTATTCTAGGCATATGGGGCACATTAGTGATTATAACAAAAATTTCTGACAGCTTACGTTTTAACAGATGGAGGAGAACTTAGCTATTAAAGATGTTAAAAGGTGAGACAAAATGCTATTAATGATACTAAGTGTTTATTACAAGCCACATGATATAACAGCTAATATTGATTGAGCAGGTTGTAAGGGCTTTAGAAGCATTCTTAGACTCCTCTCAACCCCTGCTTTACACATGAGGACACTGAGGCTCAGAGAGTTTAAAGAACTTGCCCAAGGCCTTCCAAATAATAAAAGGCTGAGTTGACACTCATGATATTGTGTACCAGGCATCTCCCACTCGTCAGGGTGATCTCACCAAGCAAGTCACTTACATTAAATTCTCACCACAGCCTTGCGAGGTGGCTCTTAATCTTCTCTTATAGATGGAGTTGATGGAGGTTTAGGAAGGTTATCTTGAGTGTCCGAGGCCACACTATTAGTAAGTAGCAGGGCCCTGCCTGTTTGATTTGGAGCTTAGCTTTTAACCACTGGCCTTGCTGAAGACAGGTGAGAAAGCCTAGAACAGCTTGCTTCTCAAACACTGAGGCCCCAAATGAACCAGAGGGTGTGGGTAGAACACAAACCATATGCATTCAGAATAATCATTGAATAGTCTCTGAATTACTATTGAAACATGAGCAAGATGCTCACATAGGACCAAAGGCATTGGCACTGACTAGGAAAAGAGAAAATTTGTATTTGCATTATTCTGTCTTGCGTAGCACTTTCCCTCTTGGGCATCCGCACTTTGGTGGCAAAAGAGGGTGGACAAGCCTGCACTTCTTAAATTGCTCCTCTCTTCCTTTCTCTCCTCATGTATTGAGTTTGAATGAAACAAATATACATTGTAACTCTACTGGATGCTCAGGTGGTGTGGCTAAACTGAATATAACCTTCAAGTCAAACTTTGTTAGCTTCTCTTCAAGGCAGTATAAATATGCTTTTCTTTCTTTTTTGAGGGCTGGTTCTAAATGACAGTGTTTCTAAAAAAGTAGTACTAGAGGATAAATTTTTTGAGTGGGAGTTCTGGGATTGTCAAGCTCTGGTTGTCCCTGGAAAAGTGTCCAGTTGTCCTAGAGGATATACCAGTAGTTTATAGACTAGGGCGCAATTTTGTCCCCCAGGAGACATTAGGCAGTATCTTGGGACTTTTTTTTTTTTTTTTTGAAATGGAGTCTTGCTCTGTTGCCCAGGCTGGAGTACAGTGGCATGATCTTGGCTCACTGCAACCTCTACCTCCTGGGTTCAGGCGATTCTCCTGCCTCAACCTGCGAAGTAACTGGGATTACAGGCGTGTGCCACCATGCCTGGCTAATTTTTGTATTTTTAGTAGAGACAGAGTTTTGCCATGTTGGCCAGGCTGGTCTTGAACTCCTGACCTCAGGTGCTCTGCCCGCCCCAGCCTTCCAAAGTGTCGGGATTACAGGTGTGAACCACTGCGCCCAGCCTAGGGACATTTTTGATTGTCACAAATGGTGGGGAGGAGGTGCTGCTGGCATCGAGTAGAGTCTTGAGATGCTGCTCAATATCCTGTAATGCATACTTTCAGGAGTTTGGGCCCATGGCACAGGCAGGTCACGGGTCGTTGGCTTCCTGTGACCTTTACCCTCCTTGCCAAGGGAAAATGCGACCCTCCAAAGTGAGAAACTTGAGGGCATGGGTTACCCCAGACTTGGCATCTACCCAGAGCCTGAGAAGGAGGGAACGATGATCCTCCAGCTACCTCATAGGGCTGGCATAGGTGGTCACTGCCCTGAGGATCACCCAACTGTGTTGGGCAACCTGGACCCCATCTGCAGGAATATGAGAAAGAGAATACAAAAGTCTTTATATGGACACTGAGAAGTCAGATGCAGAAGAAACCTCCAGGCCTTAACTACCCAATTCTTGGACCTTGGGTGGAGAAAAGAGCATAGTTGGTGATCATGTGCACTTACACACTAGGGTCAGCAGGTGGCACTCGTCTGTGGCTCTGAAAATAGAGATTTGGAAGGAGATCATCACAGTTAATATTTAACAAGCCCCTGTTGTGTGCCAAATCATTCCCCCCTCGCAACAACCTAATAAGCTAGGGATTCTTATATATATTTTATAGAGAAGGAAATGCAGACATAAAGAGGTTAATTATCTTGCCCAGATTACATAGTTAATAAGTGGTGGAGGCAGAATAGAATCTAAACAGTGTGGCTCCGGAGTGCACATGCATTGATTTGACAAGTGTTTATTGAGCGCCTGCCATGTACAAAGCCTTGTGTGACTAAAAAGGGTTATAATTAATAAAAATGACAAATCACTAGCACTTTTTAGAGTTAACTTTTTTTTTTTTTCCCCCAGACGGAGTCTTGTTCTGTTGCCCAGGCTGGAGCGCAGTGACGTGATCTGGGCTCATTGCAAGCTCCGCCTCCTGGGTTCATGCCATTCTCCTGCCTCAGCCTCCAGAGTAGCTGGGACTGCAGGTGCCGGCCACCACGCCCAGCTAATTTTCTGTATTTTTAGTAGAGATGGGGTTTCACTGTGTTAGCCAGGATGGTGTCAATCTCCTGACCTTGTGATCTGCCCGCCTTGGCCTCCCAAAGTGTTGGGATTACAGGCGTGAGCCACCGCGCCTGGCTGAGTTAACTTTTTTTCCTTTTTTTTTTTTTAAATTGAGACAGAGTCTCACTCTGTCACCCAGGCTGGAGTGCAGTGGTGCGATCTCGGCTCATTGCAAGCTCCACCTCCTGGGTTCACGCCATTCTACTGCCTCAGCCTCCAGAGTAGCTGGGACTACAGGTGCCCGCCACCACATTCAGCTAACTTTTTTGTATTTTTTGTAGAGATGGGGTTTCACTGTGTTAGCCAGGATGGTCTCAATCTCCTGACCTTGTGATCCACCTGCCTCGGCCTCCCAAAGTGTTGGGATTACAGGAGTGAGCTACCGCGCCTGGCTGAGTTAACTTTTTTTTTCTTTTCTTTTTTTTTAAATTGAGACAGAGTCTCACTCTGTCACCCAGGCTGGAGTGCAGTGGCATGATCTTGGCTCACTGTAACCTCCATCTTCCAGGTTCAAGTGATTCTCCTACCTCAGTCTCCAGAGTAGCTGGGATTACAGGTGCCTGCCACCACATCCGCCTAATTTTTATATTTTTAGTAGAGATGGATTTCACCATGTTGGCCAGGCTCGTCTCAAACTCCTGACCTTAGCTGATCCACCCACCTCAGCCTCCCAATGTGCTGGGATTACAGGTGTGAGTCATCGTGCCTGGCCAACATTTTCTTTCTTTGTAGGCTTGAAGCACAGAACTGTATATACAGTAATAGTGAAATTGATACCACTGTTGCGGAAAATCGGGAAGCAAGAGAGACCTTGGGGTTTATACAGGAGAATCTTTATTGAGTGCACTCAGACCCAGCGGACTCAGCATCCAAAATCTGGGCCCAGAACGAAGATGAACAAAGACAGCACTTGACTTTTATACACACTTCAAAAAGGGGAGTGGGCTAGCCTGAAACAAGCTTACAGTGGCACAAAGCATAGTGGCATAACAGCAAGGATGCAGAGGCAGAACAAAGGCAGTTATTTAAATTGTAACAGGTTCATAACTCAGGATTACACATGGCCATGACCGTTGCTATGCAACCCAGATGTCTGTTATCTAGGTTTGCCTAGGCACAGTCTTATCCTATAACCTTCACTATGGTGCCCAGGTGGCCATAGCTCAGGTCTGCTCAGATGGCTCATGACCTTCGCTGTGCCGCTTAGATAAAACAGAATACTTGAAGTCACTAACAGAGAACAGGAATCTATAAACTTATACCATAAAACAAAGGAAAATTTGGTTTTTTTTCTCGCTATGTTGAGGGAGTGCTGGGAGAGTCTTCAGAGCACATTAGATAGTATTATCAAGGCTTTTTCTGGGTCTGGGCTGTGCTTGTTGCTGCCTCTGGGAAAAGTCAGCCTAATATAAGGAAGCTTATTTCTCTTTCTTTTTCATTTTATTTTTCTTTAATTTCCCACCTCACCACTACTAATTATGAGAGGAATGATTATACATTTAAATGAGTTGGATGTTTTATATGTACTATCTCATGAAATCTTGACAGAAACTGAATGAGGAATGAAACTTCATTGTTCCATTTCACACAGAAGGAAACTGAGGTTAAGAGGGGTAAAGTAATTTTGCATGGCATGAAGCACAAATTCAAAGTACAGGGATTTGAACTTGGTCCTGTTTTTTTCTGAAGCCCTCATGCTCTATGACCACTATAGACTCAAACATCACCTTTTTTTCCCACTAATTTGACAAACGTTTTCTCTTAAAACTATATATTGGATTGGCACTCGTCATGAGCCCCTGTTCTCATTCTGCAGGTGGTGAAGCTCTTCATTGTCCTGACTCCACAGTTCTTGTCCCATGACCAGGGCCGGCTCACCAAGGAGCTGCAGCAGCATGTAAAGTCAGTGACACACCCATGCGAGTACCTGAGGAAGGTGAGTGAGCACAGACAGATGGGGTCCGGTGCCCTTGAACAGTCAGTGACATCCCCCATGCGAGTACATGAGGAAGGTGAGTGAGTGCAGACAGATGGGACCTAGTGCCCTTGAGCAGTTCCCAGTTCTTGGCTGTCCCACGTCTCATAGCATGGCCATGCTTGGGGAAGCTTTGGCAGTCACAGTACTGGCTTTTTCTTCTATCTGAGTGGCTTAGGGATGGGGTGAAGTAGTTGACTTATTTGGATGAAAACTGCTATCTTGTGTCAGAAACCCAAAAGGAATTATTGCTGACATGCTCACCTAAAAAAAAAAACAACCAGATAAGGGCCCAGCAATACTTAAAAAGGTTATTTATAATCTTGCAAAATTTGAAAAGGAAATTCAAATCAGCAGCTTCTAAACTATTTTTTAACATAACTTATAATAAGAAATGCATTCTGTATTATATATATGTCCTATACATATGAATAAAAGAATTAACAAAATCATATTAATTTTACAATATGTAATACATTCTTATTTTTTATTTTTCTTCAGTTGTTTTAAATGCTGTGTGCAACCTACAAAAATCCAATAATAATAATTAAATTATTCACTAAATTGAACATTATCATATAATTTAAAATGATAATCTCAAAAATCTTTTATTTTTGAGATAAAAATATTTTAACAATATACTATTAAGAGAAAAACACTGGCTATGCAAAAAATACATAGTTTTATCCTATCTGTTTGAAAATAAAGTTTGAAGAAATACATATGCAAAAAAGTTTACATTTCCTTCTTTGTAATACTTGGCTACATTATTTGAGTACTGACAGTACACATTATGAAGCTACATGGCTGACATTGAGTACTCACTGTGCGTGCCAGGCCATGGGCTCAATGTTCTACATGCATTTTTACTTCACTTAATGCCCTGTACAACCTGAGATAGTATAGCCCGCTTCACAGAGTGTGGAGTAGATGGTGCGTGTCTGCTAGGATGGGCTAGGTATCACTGTAGGTAACAAACAGCCCAAACAATGGAAATGTACAACACTGAAAGCTCTTTCCCGCTCATGCTGCATGTCCTCCATGGCTCTCCTGGCCCCTGTGCTCTATATCCCCTCATTCTGCATGAGAATAAAGGAGCAGCCTCCATGTGGGACCTGCCAGCTGCTCTAAGAGATGAAGGAGAGGGTGGTCAGTCTCAATGGCTCCCAACTCTTTTGCCTCAAGGTTATATGCTTCTCTTCCACTCACATCTCCTGGGTGAAAGCAAATCCCATGGCTACATCCACCTTCAAAGGGTCCAGGGGAGAGCCTGAAATACTTGGGGACTCAATTAAGGCCAACATATGGTGTCAGCCTATGTGGGAGACTGTGGAGGGGCAGAGGGGAAGAGTGGGGAATTGATGGGAAATGATAGCAGGACTAAGTCACCGTGGATTTGCTTTATCCTTAACCAGGTGTAGTTTGTCCCAGAGCTGCACAAAATTATCACCAGCAAGATTAAACAGAGTGAAGTTTGGAAAAAGGAGATTGGTCAGACGTAATCAGCAGTGAACTTAGAATCGACTGAGTGACATTAAGTCAGTAAATCCCTGACTGCCCCAGTTACTCACATGATAGTGATAAGGATGGGAGCATTGAAAGAGTTGACTTGGAAGGGTGTAAGGAGTGTAAAAATTCCAACGTTTTAGTTCCTTTCAGTTAAACTCAGACACTATCTTTCCTGAAAGTCTCCCGTTTCTTTCAGATTGCACAGGTGAGAGTGCTCAGATTAGGGCTGGAGTTCATAAAATATTAGCTCCCACAATATCAGTGCCCCTGTGTTGTGTGTGTATTCTGTGCTTTGCTAAACACTTTCCCAAAACATCTTGGGGTCTGATTTTCCCTCCTTGTTCCAATAGCCCTGAGTGACTCAAGTGCCCATTTAATGACACAGAGGTCTCAGGGATGCTCCATGAGGCTCCAGGTGCCAGCCTCTGCCCTGCTGGAGTGTGAGGCAAGGGACAGAGCATCTTCTGTGGGAGGTAGTGGTCAGCCAGGCTTGGTGACACTACTTGCTTACCAGACCATCCCAAACCTGCCACCTCTGTTGGATCCACTGCCTCTGTGCCTGCCTGTACTGCTGATGCTCCAGTGGCTGCCTCAACATCCCGGCCTAGGCCCAATGCCACTGAAGATGGACCTGCCCCAGGACACCTATGAGCCCTACAGGACTCACTCAGCTGTCCCCAGGAGTGTCCAGACACTCATTCCTATCCAGGACATAGAAGCCCTACCCCTTGGCTCTCCCTCTTCAGCAGTAAATGATGATTTACTGCTGTTATCATCATCACTGCCTTTAGTGTCCGAGGACCTTCCAAGGCACGAGTTCTGGAAGGAAAGATGCCCTTGGGAGGTGACGATACTCAGGTGCACAGGTGCTCAACAGATTGCTTCCTCCTATCCTCAGACAGTCTTTGCATACAGCCACTGGCACTCTCATTGTATGGAAGGAAATCAGTCCAGGGTCACACAGCTGGTATCAAATCCAAGATGCCTGGCTCTGCTTCCATAAGGGACCTGCCTGCAAAGGAGGTTGACCCTGCTTTTGGGAACCTTTCCTAGGCTACATGAATAACCTCCCCTGTTTGAGGCCTCAAACTCTGCTCACATCTCCTTTCTTTCCCTGTCTCTGCTTGGGCTATAATCAAGACGACCCTGGCAAACTTTCATGGACATCATGGTACTCTGTACCATTCACTTTTGGGCTAATCTGACTTCAACCCCCCCTTCACTTGATCTCTTCTTTTACAACTAAGACAACCCAAATCTGGGGCTCTTTATGCAGGCAACAGCATACAGGTAGAATTTCATTCCAGTGTTTTGTTATACCTGTTTTGTTTTTGTTTTGCTTGTTTCTTAGGGTTTCTTTCTATTTTTGGTAAAGGCATTGACTATTTGTAGCATCAACAGAATATTTCCTGTTTACAATAACTTTATGTTCTAGTAAATGGTAAAGGGATTTCAAGCAGTGGTTTTAAGCTGCCAGAGGCCTGAGTAAGTTTAAGCACATTCTGTGCGATCAGGTAGAAGAAGGCCTTTGGGAAATTTAGCTGAGGACAGGGCCAGAAAAGGTGATGGACAGTGGGGGTCTGTTCTCATCACCGGGCCCCTGGGTTCTGTCTACCTGTCTGACACTCCCCACTCATCACTCATGAGGCAGCCAAACCCTCTGGGTATTGTGGCCAAATGGCCCAGGAGAGAAGCTGAAGATCTTTGTCTCTTGAAAAGTACAGAATCCTTGGACATCCCTGGGAGGTCAGCCATGGAAATCAATTTGGTTTTCTTCCCCTTATTAGGGTTCAAAATTTAAAGTCCACACTCACAGGCAGTAAGATGACACAGATTAGTGACATCATCACTCCATTTCAGATGTTAAAATACCTAGGTGGGTTGGGGTGATTTGAGATCACACAACCTTGTGCCACAAAGTGGATTACCCAGGCCAGAGAGAAACATTCTATTGCCATATTATGATCCTATCATTGAGTGCAAAGGCAGTTTTGTTTCATTTTGGATTCTTTCTCATGTTTATATCTTACTTATAAGGGCACTTTAATTTCCGAGCATATAAAAGTTTTTGCTTAGCTTTTTATCATTGTTTCTCGCACAATTATATGATCAGAAATATGCTATGTGATTTGATTTCTCTTAAATATATTGAGATTTGCTTGATTAACAAAACAAGTCCGGTTAATTTTTGTAAATGTACCACATTTGCTTAAAATGAATGTATCTCCAACACTTGTTCCCAAGATACAAGGATGATGGATGGATGGTACATGTATGTGCTGGAGAGGGTTCGCTATTCAGACCTTCTGCATCCTACTGATGTTTTGTTGCTTGTAAATAGCTGAGAGGGGGCTATGGAGTCTCGTGCTCTGCTTGTACGTGAGGTTCTTCCTGCGATCCTGCCATCATTTGTTTTTTATGTTTTGCAGCCAAGCTCAGGAAAGAAGGAGTGGACCAGAAGTAGGAATAGGGAGCTGGGTTGGGGAGGACCAGAAATCTGAAGGTCTGAGAAGGTTCCAGAGAGGATCTGTCCTTGGGATGGTGCTTGGGTTCTCAGGTTGGGGAGGGGGTGTGGAAGAATTCAGGCACCACATGGAATGTCCACTGTAAGGCACCACATTCTGGGGCCAGGGATTGATGGAGAGGAGGTATAATGCCCCAGGGTTGCTAAGGCAGCACCAGACAGGAGAAGGTTTGGCGGAACCCAGAGCCCTGGTCTTCCTCCAACTGCTCCTAAGCCTCCCGCTCTCCTGCCCCGCGTGTCCCATTGCCTTGCTGATCGACCTTCTCACTGACTTGTAGCTGGTCCTCCAACCAGTGCTTGAGGGCTTAGTTTGAACTGGATACTTTCCCAGAGCCCCTTCTCCTCCTCCTCCTCCTCCAGGTGCCCAACGGCCACCCTTCCCTTCCCTCCTTTTCCCTTCACTTCTCTCTTCCACCTCAACTGCGATCCCACTCTCATTCCCATTCCTTTCCCTTCCCCAGCCCTAAGCCACCCCCACCTTTGTCCTGGCCACCTCAGGGTGCCCTGAGAGGACCAAGACATGCAGGTGTAGTGGGTACTGTTTTGGCTTCTCTTGCTGGGGTTTTCCAGCCATCAGTCCACCCATGTGAATAGATACTGGACCCACAGGGTTTCTTCTTTTTCGTTGGGCTGTGTCATGAGGCATGAAATTACATAGCTCATACCTATAATCCCAGCACTTTAAGGCCCGAAAGGTGTGCAGAACGCTTGAGTCCGGGGGTTCAAGACCAGTCTGGGCATCACAGCAAAACCCTGTATCTACAAAAATATTCCAAAAGAAAATCAGTTGGGCCTGGTGATGCATGCCTGTAGTCCCAGCTACTGGAGAGGCTGAGGTGGGAGGATTGCTTGGGCCCAGGAGATGGAGGTTGCAGTGAGCCACGATCTCCCTATTGCACTCCAGTCTGGGCGACAGGGTGAGCCCTTGTCTCAGACAAAACAAAAACAAAGTGAAATGTCACTTGAGTTCTGTGTCATCCAGTTTGATAACTTTTTAGGAACTTCTGATTCGTCCATGTTTTCTGCTCTTGGGAGCTGCCTCCAGAGAGTCTGTGTGAAATTAGTGTGATGGGAAACTGAGAAGCCCATCAGGTGACAGAATAAAGGGCTGTATTCTTTGGGTATGTTTGCAGTATGGGAGTCACTAGGAGGGACATGAGCAGGATGTGAATGAGAACTCTATTGTCCTTTGTTTTGTAAATGTGTCGAGTGCTGATCATTGATTTACTCAAATCAGAAATGTTTTTAAAGTCCTTATGGTTGTCCAAATATAAAGAAATGACAGGTTTTCACTTTGAAAGTGTTCACTCTCACATTATAAAACCTCACTGCTACCCTCAAGAAAGGTGACCTTATAGAGATGAGAGTATTTCTTCTGACCAGCATCCACCAGATTCTTAGGGAGGGATCTGGAAAAGTCTAGTGATGGGGAGCAGCCACTGCCTTGAGGCAGAATCACCTCACATGAGTACCTCCAATCAAAGAAGAATCTATTCTTTCTTTTGAGCTTATGAAGGAGGAAATGACTTGATAATCTTTGTTGGATTTTTTTCCCCTTTACCTGGCTGCATTTTCATAGATCAGTTAAACTCTCTTCGCCTACCTCACCTTTGAAGACTTTATAAATTTCCTTCATTGCATTTTCCACCTTCACCCTTGCTCATGGCCATCGACTGTCAGAACCCAAGCTTTACTAGCCCCATTGGATCTAATGTAGGTAGGAGCCCAATACTGATAAGCTGCTTCCAGATAGTTGTCAGATGTGACAAGAGTGCCCAAGATGGGGGAGGTTTTCCTGGTCAATGACAAGATGGCCTTTGTCCTTCTTGTGCATTTGATCCACATCTTTAACCATTGTGCCCAGAGCTTCTGGTCCCTTTCAGACAGAGGCTACTCAGAAAGAGTGTGTCCCTCCCAGGAACCCAGGCTGAACTCACCTCCACTGTGAGGCTGAAGATGAAAGTGCTACAGAACTCAGAGGTTGCTTTTTAGAGAGGTTTTGTTTGCACAAAACAGTCTTGGCATGTGAATTGGTCTGAATTACATTTTGTATTCATTTTCTCCCCCAATACTTGTAAATTTAATGTTTATAAAATAATATGTGTGCCTTTTGTGGCAGTGGTTAACATTCCCAAAAGTTTTTATTGCTTTCCATATGGATTTCCAAGGTTGCTACTGATTGCTTTAGGTGCAGTGCTCTAAAATGTGAGGGGGAACTCTTGTTATTGGTGTCTTGGTATTGCGTTTTTAACTAACTTCAGTTCTCTCAGTTTGAATTATAATTCCAGGAAGACTATATTATGCAAATATTTATGGACTTTGAAAATCTGACATAAAGTGCTCTGTTTCAGCAACAAAGTGAACATTAATTTTCAAAAGTTAACATTTTTATAAACTTGGGCTAAACAACAGTCTATGTTTATTTTTGTTGAACTATAACCCAGGTGTTATTATTACAGCAGCTGTCCTCTCTCAGTTTTGTGTATATATAAACGTGTCTTTATGTCATATTTTCATCTATAACCTTAAGACTTTTTTCTTATATTTTTCTCATTCTTCCATACAGTGTGGACATATTTTTGGATATATTACAAATAGTGTAATGCAAATTTATAAATATTTTTAAAAAGATCTTGGCTTCCCGACCCATTGTGAGTTTGTATTTTTTATCCACATTTTAACTGAATTATAAATTTCTAAGTTCCGTAATTATTTTTTAAAATATTTGCAATGTTTTTGTCACAGAAGGGAACATGAACCCTGATTAGAGCAGGAAAAGAATAAGATGCTCTGCTACAGATCAGGAAGGAGCAGGAGGTGAAATGTTACAAATTCTAGAACTCAGAGAACTGAAGATATTACTTCCTTTTCAGATTGTTAAACATTTTAACCTGTGGTAAAATATTCATAAGAAAACATTCATAACATGATCATTGCCATCTTAACGTTGAAGTGTACAATTCAGGTGTGAAGTATACTCACGTCATTTTTCAGCTATTATTTCATAGATGTCTTTTCTCAAGTCTATCTCAAAGCCATGAAATGTAAATGAGGGATCCACAGATCTGCAGCAGAGAGCCTGGAGGTCCAACAGGCATAGCCAGGAAGTTATGCTATCTATTGGAGTCCCCACAGTATGGAAATGAGTTTGCCCTGGAAAGGGGAAGAACAGCTTCTTGCCCTCAGGTCGATGACAAGAGTTCCAGTCCTGAATCATGGAAACATGCAGTAGTGAACTGCAGGGTTAATGACATCATGTCCTGGAAGGATCTCTCAAAGGCTAACTGTCTGGGTTCTGGCATCAGCCTCTAAATGAGAATCAGGTCTTCTTCGTACGGGAGGAGTCAGATGAGGAGCCGTCCCCTGCTCCATCTTGATGGAGTTAGTTGTGATGAGTTGGTGAGATCTGATTTTCCACACTGAACTAAAATGAGCTTTCAGTGTGTCAAGCACAAGACTGACCCCGGAAGTACACAAAGTGCATCTCATAGAAGCTTCTAATAGTGCTCATTTAGTTAAGAATAGGACTATGGAGCCACAGAGACAAGCTGGAAATGACAAGAATGACAGGTGACTTGCTAGCAGGCCAGAGTGTTTTTTTTTTTCTGTCTGTCAATGGGAGGTATCAATTCTTCCTCCCTATTGTTGAATATCAGTTGTTTCATGTATGGGAAGGCTGCGGGGGGCCTTTGAATCATGGCCTTCAGATGCCAGAATGGCAGAAAGAATCCCACATGGGCAAGAGGATCATGTGTGTGTATTTCCCTCCGTTTTCATCTCAGGAAGCTGAGAATGAAAGAATGTGAGTAAGCAGAAAAAGAGAGGCAGCTATCAGAGGTGGAGGAAAAAGGGAAATTGGTTATGGAAAAAATACACACCTTCAAGTGAGTTCAGAAACTGAACACCAGCCACATGGGAAACTTCCATCGGAGTGTTTTGCTTTTAACTTTTGTACAATGTTTAGACCCAGTTAAGACAGAAATACAAACAAGTGGTCAGAAGATGTATTTAGAGAGAGAGAGAATTCACACAAGAGAAAACAAAATACCTTAAGATTTACCAGTGACCAAAACATGTGAAGTAGCAAAACATCTCTAGACCCCAGTCGGGTCAGATTGTGTAGAAAGTCAGTTCATTTCTGCCATCCTAGGGCTGGTATCCATCGCTGTCATTCTTAGAAAAGCGTGTTGTAGGATCAACCACATTTTTTCAAACGGACTGTGCCCAGCTGTTTCTACTCTGTGAAATATGGCAAGGATATTAATACAAGGAGACTAGAGCTTTATAATCAAAGATGCCCAGTGAAGGATGAGGTACCCAATGGTGCCCAGTGGGTAAGGACATTGTCAACTCAGAACCCAGCAGGCATGAAGTAAAAGAGGAGGCATCATTATAGCAACAGTTTTGATCATACTGTACTTTGAAAACCCTGTGAAATACATTTTCTGTGTACGGCTAGTGTAAGGGTGTAGTTGTGAGGATAACAGAAACATGGCAGATTATTTAAAAACATACTGAAATGGTGCTTATTTGATGAAAGTGGTTCTAAACCATAGGAAAATAATTCAAGACACCCAAGAGCTTTGGTGGAGAGTAGGAAACTCTCCTCCCCGCGGCTGCAGGCTCCTTCAGTGCTGATGTGGATAATGCCATGCCATTTAGACTCTCTCACATACGATTTCTCATGTGTTGGTTTTTTTCAGATCGTCCCTTCTGTAAGAAAGGTCCTTGACAACTGAGCAGTTTTTTCCCCCTTGCTTTTGGGCTTAGTCTGCCAGGTCAGGACGTGGATGTATTTTTCTCCCCACAGTTCTGTGCTCAAACCTTGCAGAGGGAGATGGCCGAGAGGAAGGCTGTCTACAAGCAGCACAGGTAGGTAATTGTGGTGGACATTTTTAAGGATGTTTTTGTTTTAAGATGAAGCTTTGAGTGTCTAGTAAAGAACTTGGTGTTTTAATTCTTCTTCAAGTGAATTCTTTGTGTGTCTTCTAGATGGGAAATGATGGAGAAGCAGAGTCATGGAGACACACAAGAGTCAGGAGCCAGCCCAGAGACAACTGGGCCTAGAGAGAACTTTCTGGAGAGCTCACTGTGAAGGTAGCTACTTCTGCTGCACAATCCACACAGCCTGCTTCTCCTTTTGGGGTTGAGAGCTCAGGTGGGGTGACAATTATGTTTCCTGGAAACAATTCTAAGTACTTACTACAGAGAGCATGTGTCTCGTTTGGTGGCAGGACCCTATTTTTCTCAGATGTCACAGCTGAATGTCTTTTAGATGCTCCCCTGAGAATGGTGGAGCTCAGTCTCCTCCACTGACTGTGAACATTGCCCCGCGCTGACATCTTGGTTACTTTTAACTGAAAAGGTAAGCCTAGAAAGCAAATGGGCCAACTCCCCTTCCCACCTTAAGTCAGCACAAAGGCTTTATCTTTCTTTCATTTGGGAAAACACTAATAACATTTTAGAATGGGAGCTATATCTGCTGATGAGAGCAGACATTTTCTGGCTATGTCTTCATTAATCAATATTGTACCATGAGATCTGCTTTAAGAAAAGCAACATTTATTTACATTTTTTGGAGCTTTGTTTTTTTGTTTGTTTAAATTGTTTATTGTGGACTATATAATATAACTCCATTAGTAAATTAAATTTCCATGTAATCGTACTCTTCTGACATTCTAGGTGTAACCCTAACACTTTTCAGTTAATTTCTGATACTTTCACCTTTTCTCAGTACTTCTGGTCATTTTATGCCCATTTCTCTTCATACATATTGATAGTACTTGGGCAGATATGAAAGTTAAAGTAGCTATAAATTTACAGAACTTTAAATGTCCATACGACTTGAAGAAAAGGAGCAGTGCTGTTTCTTTTCAGGGTTTATTGATATTCCTCCAATCCATGACTGTTTCTATTTTCAATTTTAGTCTGTGTTTACGGGATGAGTGACTTTTTTTCTGATGTGTACTGGGAACCCCTGATTTAGAACTCATTTATAGATTCTCAGAGCCCTACCTATCCAGAGTCAGTTGATAGTTAAGAAAATTCATAGACCAGGGCTCTGAGGTGTCTGAGCCAGCCAACCACTCAGCTTCTAATCCAGCCTCTCAGCCAGCCAGCACCTCAGCCAGCCCAGCCTCCCAGCCCTTTTCTGGCTCAGCCTCTCACCCAGCCATTTGGCCAGCCTCCCAGCTGGCCTTTGAGACAGCTAGCCTGTGGGTCTCTCGGCCAGCCTCCCAGGCGATCCATTAGTGAGCCTTCGAGGTGACCTCTAAACCAGGGAACTAGCCCACCTCTGGGCAAGATTCCAAGCCACCCCCTTGGCAGATCTCTCAGCCAGCCAACCTGCCAGCCAGTCTCTCAGCAAGCTTCTCAACCAGCCCGTCTCTCAGCAAGCTTCTCCAGCCAGTCTCTCAGCAAGCTTCTCAACCAGCCCGCTCTCAGCAAGCTTCCGACCAGCCTCTCGGCAAGCTTCGACCAGCCCGCCGCCTCTCGCAAGCTTCTCACCAGCCAGGCTCTGCAAGCCTCTCCTCGACCAGCCAGGCTCTTGGCAGCCGACCTCAGGCTCAGCAAGCTTCTCGACCAGCCAGTCTCTCAGGAAACTTCTAAGCCAGCCTCTCAATCAGGCAGCCTCTGAGCCAGCCTCTCAAACAGCCTCCCAGCCAGCCTCTTGGCCAGCCTCTCAACTGCCCTCTCAAGCAGCTAGCCTCTCATTCAGCCGGCCTACTAGCTAGCCTCCAGGCAAGCCTCTAATCCAGTCAGCCTCTCAGTAACCCTCTAAGCCAGACTTGCAGGCAGGCAGCCTCTCAGCCAGCTTCCCAGGCAACCAGCCTCTCAGGCAGGCAGCCACCCAGACTGCATCTTGACCAGCCTTCCAGCTAAACCCTTGCTCAGCCTCATCCAGCCAGCCTGCCAACCATGCTCCAGGCAATCCTCTAATACAGCCAGTTTCTCAGCAAAGCCTCTAAGCCAACCTCTCAACCAGGCAGCCTTTGAGCCAGCCTTTTAGGCAGCCAGCTTGTCAAACCGCCTCCCAGCCAGTCTCTCATGCAGGCTTCCATGCATTTAACCTCTTGCCCAGCCTCCCAGATGTCCTCTTGGCCAGCCTCTATACACCACCTTTGCCAGCCTCTCAGTCAGCCAGCCTGATAGCCAACCTCTCAGCACGCCTCTAAGACAGCCTCTCAGCCAGGCAGCCTCTCAGCCATCCTCTCAGGCAGCCACCCTCTCAAACAGATTCTTAGAAGTCTCTCAGCCAGCCATCCTCTCAACAGGCCTCTAAACTGGTCTCTCAGCCAGGTAGATTCTCAGCCAGACTTCTGCTCAACCAGTCTCTGGAACAGCCAGACAGCCAGCCTCTCAGTCAGCCTGCCTGCTGGCTTCTTGGTCAGCCTCCTCAGCCAGCCTCCCAAACAGCTTCATACCCAGCCTCTCAGCAAGACAGTTAGCCAGCCATTGTCTCAGCAAACATCTCAGCCAGCCTCTCAGTCAGGCAGATTCTCAGCCTGCCATTTTCTCAGCCTGCTTCTCAGCCAACCAGCCAACCAGCCTCTCAGCTGGTTTCCCCAGCCAGCCTGTTAAACAGCCTCCCAGACAGCCTCTAGGCCAGACTCCCAGCCTGCTTATTCCCCAGCCTCCCTTGCGGCTACATCTGGACAAGGCTGAGTCACTATCTCAGCCAGCAGGACAGCCAGCTTCTGAGCCCATCTCTCAGCTGGCCTCTTGACTGGCCTCCTAAGTGGCCTCTATACCAGTGAGTCAGCTAGCCTCTTGGCAAGCCTCCCAGCCACACCATTGGCTGGCATCTCAGCCAGCCAACCTGCCAGTCAGCACCTCAGCAAGCCTCGCCAGCCATTCACACAGCAAGCCTCACAGCAAGCCTCTAAGCCAGCCTCTCAACCAGGCAGCGTCTCAGCCAGGCAGCCTCTCAACCAGGCAGCCTCTCAGGCAGACACCCAGTCAGACAGACTACCTCTCAGCCAGAGAGCCTGTCATCCAGCCTCACAAGCTACTTGGCCTGCCTTTAAGAGAGCCAACCAACCAAACTCTCAGCCAGCCAACCAGCCTGCCAGCTAGCTTCTAAGCAAGTAAACCTCTCAACCCATCTCTCAGCTGGCCTTTAAGTGAGCCTTTCCGCCAGGCAGCCTGTGAGCCAGCCTGTCAAGCAGCCATCCTCTGTAACATACCACCAGGCTCTCGGAAAGCCTCTCAGCCAGCCAGCCTCTCAGCAAACCTCTAAGCCAGCCTCTCAGCCAGGCAGAAATGCAGCCAGCCATCCTCTCAGCCATCCTCTTGGCCAGCCTCCAAGACGCCCCCTTGACCAGTGTCTCAGCCAGCTAGCCTGCTTACCAGCCCTTCGGCAAGCCTCTCAGCAAACCAGCATCTCAGCAAGCCACTAAGCCAGCCTCTCAACAACGTGGTTTCTGAGCTAGCCTCTCAGGCAGCCAGCCTCTCAACCTCCCAACAAGGCTCTCAGCCAGCCAGTATCTCTACAAGCCTCTAACCCAGCCTCTCAGCCAGGCAGATTCTCAGTCACCATTCTCACCTCCATCCTCTCGGCTAACCACAAAGCCTGCACTCAGCCAGACTCCCCAGACGGCCTCTAAAACCTCTAAACAGCCTGACGTCCAGCCCCCCAGCCTGCCTCTTCACCAGCCTCCCATGCAGCCATCCTCTGGACCAACCTATCAATCAGCCTCTCAACCACCAAGAGAGCCAGCCTCGCAACCAACCTCCCAGCGAGCCTCTTGACCAGTGAGCCAGCTGGCCCTTCAACCATCCTTCAAGTCGCCCCCTTGACTTGCCTCAGTCAGCCAGCCTGCTAGTCAGGCTCTCGAAAAGCCAGCAAGCCCCTCAGCAAGCCACTAAGCTAGTCTCTCAGCAAGGAGGTCTCAGAGCCAGCCTCTCAGACAGCCAGCCTCTCATAAAGCCTCTAAGCCGGTCCCTCAGCCATGCAGATTCAGAGCCAGCCTCCCATCTGTCCTCTCACCCAGGCTTCCAGGTAGCCTGTCACCCGACTTTCCAACCAGCCTCTCGGCAAGCCTCCCAGCTGGACTGTCGGTCAACCTCCCAGGTGTCCTCTAGGCCAGCATCCTGGCCCGGCACTGGCCGACCTCTCGGCCAGCCAACTAACCAACCAGCCAACTTCTTCGCAAGCTTCTCAGCCAGCCAGCCTCTCAACAAGATTCTAGCCCAGCCTGTAAGCCAGGCAGCTTCTCAGCCAGTTAGCCAGCTGGCCTCTCTGCCGGCCTCCCCAGCCAGTCTCTCAAACAGCCTCCCAGCCAGCCTCCTCTGGACCAGCCCTTCAGCCTACCTCTACGCTGGCAAGGCAGCCAGCCTCTCAACCAGCCTCTTAGCCATCTACTCGGCCAGCCACCCAGCAAGTCTCCTGGCCAGCCTGCCAGCCTGCCAGCGTATCAGCTAGAAGACCTGTCATGCAGCCTCACAACCAGCGCCTCTACCAGACTCCCGGCAAGCCACACGGCCAGCCTTTAATACAGCTAGTCAGCCAGACTCTCAGCAAGCAAGCCTCTCAGGCAGCTCTCTGCCACCTTCTCAGTCAGCCTCTGGTTGGCCAGCCTCCCAGGTGGCCCCTTGGCCAGTTCTCCAGCCAACCACCCTCCCATCCCGACTTTCTCCCAGGTTCTAAGCCAGCCACACTCTCAGCAAGCCTCTCAGCCTGGCGACCTCACAGCCAGGCTCTCAGCAAGCCATCCACTCAGCCTGCCACTCTGCCTGCCTCCCAGCCAGCCGTTTGGCCATGCAGCCAGTCTTTCATTTAGCCTTCCAGTCAACCTCTCGGCCAGACAGACTGCCATCCTCTTGGCCAGAATCACAGCTGCCCTTTTTGCCAGCCTCTCGGCCAGCCAGCCTGCCAGCCGGCCTCTCAGCAAGCAAGCCTCTCAGGTAGCCTCTCAACTGACCTTCTGGGCAGCCAGCCTCTCAGCCAGCCAGCCTCTCAGTAAGCCTCTAACTCAGTCAGTCAGTCAGACAGCCTTTGAAACAGTCATCTTCTCACCCAGCCTCTCAGCCAGCCTCTCAGTCAATCTCTAAGTCAGCCTCTCAGCCAGGCAGCCTCTGAACAAGCCTCTCAGGCAGCCAGCCTCTCTCATCCAGGCAGATTCTCAGTCAGCCATTCTCTCAGCCAGTGGCTAGCTCATTCAGCCATCCAGCCTGTCACACAGCCTCCCATACAGCCCTCTAGGCCGTCCTCCCAGCCTGCCTCTTTGGAAGCCTCTGATGCCGCCATCCTCTGGACCAGCCTATCAGCCAGCTGCTCAGTCAGCAAGACTGCTAGCCTTTCAGGGAGTCTCCCGGCTGACCTCTCAGCCAGTCAACCTGCCAGCCAGCATCTGAGCAAGGCTCTAAGCCAGCTAGCCTCTTAGCAAGCCTCTAAGCCAGCCTCTCAACCGGGCAGCTTCTGAGCCAGCCTCTCAGGCAACAAGCCTCTCAAACAGCCTCCAAGTCAGCCTCTCGGCCAGCCTCTCAAGTGTCCTCTTGGCTATCCAGGCGGCTGGCTTCTTGGCCAGCTTCCAAGACCCCCTTAACTGGCCTCTCAGCCAGCCAGCCTTCCAGCCAACCTGTCCATAAGCCTCTCAGCCAGTCACTTGCTGGGGCCTCACCCAGGCCACAGGCAGGTGCCTGGAGCCACATGGGCATCCCTCCTGGACCCGTGTGTCCTGGCCGTTGAAGGGTGCTTAGGGCTACCTTGAGATGCTGGTGCCAGGAGGGAGAATCTGGTCCCAAGATATCTCAGGTTGGAGATTAGGGAGAATTACAGAGGGAGGGCATTTAACATAAGTTAATTCCCAGAATAAATGCTCAACACAGGGTATTGTTGATATCAGTATTTTATTACTTGCAATCTGAGTGCTCACCTGGGAAATTCTAAAGATACAGAGGACTTGGAGGAAGCAGAGTAACTGAATTTAACTTAAAAGAACAAAAACATTGGAATTATGGCACTCCTGATACTTTCCCAAATCAACACTCTCAATGCCCCACCCTCGTCTTCACCATAGTGGGGAGACTAGAGTGGCCAGGGATTTGCCTTAGGTGCACAGTGGGTTGTGAGTTCACTGCCGATTACATCTGACCCATCTCCTTTTTCTGAAGTTCTTTCCGTTTAATCTTGCCAGTGATGGTTTTTGGCAAATCTGGGACAAACTCCACCTGGTTGAGGATAAAGCAAATCCACAGTGACTCAGTCCTGCTGCCATTTCCTACCAATTCTCCACTCTCCTCCTCTGTCCCTCCACAGTCTCCCACGCAGGCTGATACCATGTGGTGGCCTTAATGGAGTCCCCAAGTATTTCAGGTTCTCCCCTGACCCCTAGAAGGTGGATGTGGCCATGGGATTTGCTTTGACCCAGGAGATGTGAGTGGAAGTGAAGCATATAACCTTGAGGCAAAAGAGTTG